ATTCTTGTTATTTATTTATTTATCTATTTATTTGTCCTGGTGTTGGGATAAAACCCAGGGCCTTGTAGCCAGTAGGCAGATGCTGTACCACTGGAGATGCATCCGGCTCTTCCTACGAACATCTTCCTGAAGGTCTAGTATTTCTTTCAGCAGTAAGTGTATTTGTGCTTATAACTTTGTCACTGACAGAAAATGTGGCCGTTTTCATAGCACATCAACGTTCTTACAGTTTCTGAACATGTTCTTTACAGTCATCACTATACTGAAGGCATAGTGGTAATTAGACCCTTTCCTAGATGGTGTTTAATGGAGCAATAAGTGTAATCCGGCATAGTAGCATGTCTCTAAGACCTCTTGCTGGGTAGACCGTAGAGTCCTGAATTAAAGTCCAGCCTAGGCAGTTTAGCAACTTAGCGAGACCCTATCAAAAGAAAGAAAGAGAGAAAGAAAGAGAGACTAGGGGTGTAACTAAGTGAAAATCCTCTGGGTTCAAACTGTACTACTTAAAAAAAAAAAAAAAATCCAGGCGTGCTGGTTCTCACTTGTAATCCCAGCGCTCAGCAGGCTGCAGCAGGAGGACTCCATAAGTGAGTTTAAGACCAGACTGAGGGCTGGTGAGATGGCTCAGGGGTCTAAAGCACCTACTTAGAATCAAGCTTAGCAAAGCACAGGGACCGCGGTTCAATCCCCCAGCACCACATGCCAGCCAGCCCCGCCCCCTGGTGGGCTGAGCTGGCCACACACACACACACACATAAATAAAATTAAATTTAAAAAAATAAGTGTTAAATCTTAAAAAAAAAGTGTCAACCTTTGATGACATGACTTTTAATATTTTAATGCCTGCATTTCAATGAAATTGCTTTCCTTTAGTGGTAGGATACCTCAAAGGTCTCCATATCCCGATACCGAGAACTTGGGAACCCTAGAATCTAACTCAGCCAAAGGAGTTTGGTAGATGAAATTGCATTTGCTTCGAGGATCTGGTGTAACCCTGGGGGCCTGCTAGGAGAAGAGGGAGGACAGAGCTGAGAGAAGCCAAGGAATTGGGTGGCTTGAAAAGACTGTGAGGGGAATTGTCCCCGGGTCTCCAAGGCAGCGGTACCCCTGGCCACCCGGGGGAGACTTCTGACCTCCAGAACCGCAGGAGACCACATCTGTCCTGTGTGAAGCCATGGTGGTTTGTTATGGCAGCAGGGGGAAGCTCATACACAGTCTGTGTATTTGATTGAACTGCTTTTCCCATGTGATTTATTTTATATATTTAAGTAAGTATTATTCTGAGAGGGGTCCATAGGCTTCACCAG